CCCGCCTGGGTGAGGCGGGAGGGAGTGTCAGACTCTTACTGACTAAAAACCACCCCGTTCCTTCTCCTGCACGTCGAGCCGGAGCCCCGGTTACCCGTTAGGTTCTCCGCGACACTCTTCAATACATTAGGATTCAATTAAAAACAATCATCGTTAAAACTTGGTAGTGGTACATACATACATTCAAACTCGTCATTATATTGTCAGGAAAGTTAGGATGACAAAACGTGCTTATTTCAGGAAACCTTAAGTTCTCAATGTAAGTTTCAAATCTTCAGCAAGAGCATACATTAACAAAGCGTTCCCAAAATATGCACCCGATGCAAGACCCAAACATTGTGTCCACGATGGGGTCACAAGTACGTCACAAATAGTTTACCTTGGTTTGTCGAAGTCCATGAGTTGCACATCAGCGCCGTAGGAAGGTGGCTTGCCCGGGCTAGACAGAACGTTAAAGATAGTTACCGTGGCAAAGGGGTTCGTGCCTAAATGGTACCGCGTCGATCGACAGATCCACGTAGTTAAGACATTGCCAATCATTGGGTTAGTAACAGAATTTAAGAGACCCCCACAACACTCAGAGCATGTTACAGTGATCACGGCATTCGGATACGTCAGAAGAGTATCTGACAAGCGTTAAGCGTTCTAGTGTTACGAGAAATGGTAATGGTTTTACAATTTGTGTTGGTTCGAGATGATATAATGATGGTAAGTTAGAGTTGTAGGTATGCAGAGCGAGGGTCACCTGGGTCGCTCGAGGTCCATGAGCTGCACGGCGGCGCCGTAGGAGGGCGGCTTGCCGTTGTATGCGGCGGGGCGCGGCAGGGTGCGGCTGGCCTGGCTGCTGGCGCCGCTCGACAGGAAGGGCGCCTGCTCCTCGCCGCCGCCGCCGCGCCTGCCGACCGACCGTCACTCAACCGAACACAGGGCTGCCCTACCATTCTACCCGCCACCCATAGCTATTCTCATACTTGTACATATTTACAAAAACTATGTACCTACTATAATTTCTATTTGTTTATAATTAACAGTATATTTGCAAAAGGATTGCTGTTACAGCAATAGTTTTTAGGGCAATTTCGATTTCGACAGAAGACATCCTACAGTAATTGCATACGAGTAGTATAAAGAACTTTGTTATCAATTAATAATTTCTACCTTGAATCAAGAATTAAAATTGCCTTAACAAAGTAAACATTTACCCTTTCGAAATTCGATCAAGAAAACTACAAAAGTATATAAAATACCTACAAAAGTACACAAGTATCACTTCAATACGTCGTCGCCTAATGATTGTTCCCTCTTGGTAAAAATATTAGTACAGCAAAGCTTACAATAAGTTAGACACCACACAGTATTGATTAGAGTTTTGTGATGAATCAGCGTTACGTGGGGTGTTATCAACATTGTGAAGTTGTACTCACTTCGTGTTGATGTATATCCATGCGTGGGAGTCCACTAGCACTATGGCGGTGAATAGGAAGCCTGCTGCAACTGCCGCTAGCAGCTGGAGTGATAATGCCTGGAATTAAGTTGGTAGCAATGTTAATATCCTAGGAAGTACAGATGCCAGTGCCAACGTACAACATTGAAATTGTCGGTTTGTATCTTTACAAAGTTCAAAACCTTTTCGACATCAAGAGAATGCCATTTAGCGCTTGTCTACTTATAAAATAGAAAACTAAATTATATGGAATTGACGTAAATTTTAACACTTGTCAGTGTCATACCCATTTTTTTTTTTGAGGGGGGATATCATCCAATAACTTCTCCCGCCCGGGCTGACATTTAGTTTTCTACTCTCTCTGTAGACAAGCGCTAAAGTGGCGTTTGGTTAAAGATACTAATTTTAGGCTAAGAGTGATAACGTATCTCAATCCAAAATCTGTGGATAATTATAGATTTTTGTACAAAAATATTTTTTGTTCAAAGGTCCAATAATTGTCCATCGTACCTGCAGCCCCGCGTCGCAGGCGGCCCGCGCGGCGGCCACGAAGTACGCGCGCGCCATGCGACACTCCAGCGCGCCGCTGAGCGCCACCAGCGCCCGCTCCGCCTCGCCAGTGCCCGCGCCCAGCGCGCCCAGGGCTGGCTGCAGGCCTGGCGGAACAATGTAATTCATTGTTTTAGACTCACAAATGCCCCAATACATACCCTATTAATCGCAAAAAAATCCTTCTGAATCTGTCTAATGTCTATGCTTTCGTCTTGGATGTTAGGATGCGGACAGCAATACCAAAAACGTACTAAACATTTATCATATTATACAGTCGAATGTACTTTCTTGTGACCAATACCCGTGTATCCTTAGAAAACTAACAAAACGATCAAGATCTTGGAAGTTTCGACCTCATAGCACACAAATAACAATTTCTACGCACTTCAACTCATGAAGTAGTCGAAAGTGTCAGAAACAATGAATTAATCTAGCCATATTTATATTTAGACTAATAGGCCCCTATATTTTAATTTTTCTTGAAACAATCGTAAATCAATCTAAAGTTACCAGGATCGTTGAACAGTTGTGGCGCTCCCCTGGCCAGTACAGCTAGAGCTTGTCGCACGGCGACGACGGCTCGCTGCGCGTTCCTTAGTTCAGCGGTCAGCACGTTCTCTCGGGACACCTTGCACGATAGGTAGTAGTGCACCATCTGGAATGGTAACAGTAGAAAAGTTAATGATTTGACAAAAAATATCATTACATGTTGATACTAATCAGTCTTAATTACGACTGATATAATATAATTTCAAACAAAATTACGTGTCATTTGCACCAGAACAGGATTTATCTAAATTGATTTTCGAGTTCATTGCAAAACTTTAAAGAGTTCAAGCTGGGTATAAAGGAAATCAAAAGAGTGGATCCGAATAGCTTGCAGGCGTAGCAGCAGGAGAGCTAAATAAAACAATCGGAAAAGCATTAGGCAATGGTAAATTAACACAAATTTCTCATCCTCCATCCATGCATAGTAGATAATGAATACATACGTCTTGTGGCAGGTTATGCGGGGCATGATGCGCGAGTGCGGCGGCGGGCTCCTGGCAGGCGTCGGCCGCCGCCACCGCCGCCGCCGCCAGCACCGCGCCCGCCAGCCAGCATACCACCAGCGCGCCCAGGGCACCCACCTACGGAAAAAAGATACAGAGTAAGTATTAATTATAGTCCATCTGTTTAGGTAATTAACTAAAGGTAAACAAACAAAACCACGTGACACAGAGATACTTAACCTTCTGTTACTTCAAATATTTCTCGTGTTTTAATTTAAACTAAATTCACTTTAAAATCGTTCATTTGTCACACACACACATACTAGCACAAATGCCTAAATCGTACAAGAGCCTAGCCTATGGGTCTATTTCATTATCATGTTTAAATAGAAACTATTCTGAATCTGATGTACGGATTTCTTTCTTGTACGGATATGTGTCTTTGGGCCAAGTGTCTTCAATATATTTGAACACATTAATTACAAACGATGAATAACCTAAACTTAAATAACTTAATAACAAAAACAAAACAAAGAAACAAGATAAGTTCAACAAAATAGGAACGCGAGCGCAAACGACGAGAGAGCTGTCAATGGCGCCTGATTAACCGACTAAACGTAATACACGCTACTTTCATTGTCGCGCTACATCTTAGTTGTACTCTTTAATTTGACAACATTATCTAATGCTTCGTTCTAAAGAAAGGTTTTGGATACCTGGGATTTTAGGCTCTTTATGGTGTCTATTGTAATGAAATATTATATTATTTAATAAATGTTATTAAATTATTATGCTCAAGCAGATATATATAATATTTACTAAGAAATAAGTGAAAAGGAACAGAAACATAACATTTAATAGAGAAAACTGTCGTAAAAATGGAAACAATTTTATTTTCTTATGAAGTATTTTGAGCGGCGGCGGCCAGCAGCGCGACGCAGACGGCGCCGCCGCAGCACCAGCCCGCCATGCCGCCCTTATATATATATATATATATATATACTTACGCAAAGCAGCAGTAGCGCCCGTCGCGAGCGGCGCGCGGCGGCGGCCAGCAGCGCGACGCAGACGGCGCCGCCGCAGCACCAGCCCGCCATGCCGCCCTTATATATATATATATATATATATACTTACGCAAAGCAGCAGTAGCGCCCGTCGCGAGCGGCGCGCGGCGGCGGCCAGCAGCGCGACGCAGACGGCGCCGCCGCAGCACCAGCCCGCCATGCCGCCCTTATATATATATATATATATATATACTTACGCAAAGCAGCAGTAGCGCCCGTCGCGAGCGGCGCGCGGCGGCGGCCAGCAGCGCGACGCAGACGGCGCCGCCGCAGCACCAGCCCGCCATGCCGCCCTTATATATATATATATATATATATACTTACGCAAAGCAGCAGTAGCGCCCGTCGCGAGCGGCGCGCGGCGGCGGCCAGCAGCGCGACGCAGACGGCGCCGCCGCAGCACCAGCCCGCCATGCCGCCCTTATATATATATATATATATATATACTTACGCAAAGCAGCAGTAGCGCCCGTCGCGAGCGGCGCGCGGCGGCGGCCAGCAGCGCGACGCAGACGGCGCCGCCGCAGCACCAGCCCGCCATGCCGCCCTTATATATATATATATATATATATACTTACGCAAAGCAGCAGTAGCGCCCGTCGCGAGCGGCGCGCGGCGGCGGCCAGCAGCGCGACGCAGACGGCGCCGCCGCAGCACCAGCCCGCCATGCCGCCCGCCCAGCGCGCCGCCTCCCACACCCACGCGCGCTGCAACGTACGTCACACGTTTTAGGGTAATCTGTACTGCTTTGTGGCAATGACAGACTAAACCATCTGTAAAACCGGCCAAGAGACTACCCACTTTGACAGAATCTCTTAAATTACGATCTGCGAACCGCCTTCCAAACGTGAAGATGCAGAAACGCGACTAAACGCAATAGCAAAGCCTTTTATGTAGAAGCTCAAATAACACTTAAGGGTTGTATACCAAATTCAGTACACCACGTGTTTTTACGTAGGGAGTTTAAAATAAATAGCTACAAACCTTCATGAAGGCATCGAGGTTCAGTGCAGCAAGAGGTCGCCGGAGGTTGTCGGCAGCTGATGCAGCAGCGCTGGCATTGTTCCTGAGTGCTGAGAGGGCTCGGAGTAATGTGCCTAGAGCCGTCTGGTTAGCCACGGGCGCGTCCAGAGCGTCAGCTAGTCGGGCTAGGGGAGCACGTGCTCTGGAGCCCATCGCTTCTTCTAGGATGCTTGACTAGAATCAAATAGGAGATTCATTAAAAAAATATTCGATTGATTTAAACTTTGTAGTTTAAGATTTCTGCAGCTATCCTTGCCAAGTCTAGCAGAAATGTGTTAACGAGTTTATAATTTTATATAGCAAGCATATTTGTACAAACTTCAATCTCATCATAGCACATTAATACTTCAAAAACATTCCTACATTTGTGCTATAAACGTAACACAGGAGGTTCAGAGCTAATCTATTTAGAAGACGCGGCACCCCTGACCTATACCTGTGCTGATATCGAACACCGTATTTTTAGAATCCATCACTTAATCATTTTCCCCAAAAGCAAGGCACAACATAAAACGTGACTAATTTTTTTTAGACTAGTCTTTCTATTCATACTGACCTGGTTCTTAACCGTATTAACGAGTGCAGCAAGCTGGTTTCCAGCCTGGATGCTCTGCAGCATCGCGTTGTGTAGGTCGTCATTGCCGAACAGACCCACGCCGATGGCCCCACAGCAGAGGACAGATAGGATCATGAGCGTTATCTGTGGAAGCGGAAAAAATGAAAGATTAGTTAGTTAGAAGTCATTAAACTTTCATATAAATATTCTTTTCAGCGATGCAAATGCTTAAATAGTGAAAACGGATTCTTCAAATGTTTTAAACAACATCCTACAATTAATGTTTTGTCTATAAGACTATTGAGTAGCCAAAAGATTCAGTCTTGTAAATTAAATATTTGGCAACTCCAAAGTTTATTATTCAACATATCATAAATCGGTTTCAAAAATTCTGCAGATGTTTACACATGTTACATTCAAACTAGCATTAAATTCAAACATAAATAATATAGAAGAATCAACTTGATACTCTATGGACAATAAGGACTACATACGAATCTTCTGTTACTCAATATTCATCATGATCAATAAATTATTATGTTTTCGGTTTCTCACGTAATTATTTGACGAGGAACTCGACTAGTTTCAAGCCAAACTCAAACTCAAACTCAAACTCAAAAGCATTTATTTCAATTAGACCATAATTTGGTACTTTTGAAACGTCAACAAATATGAGATATATAATAGTCTGTCAGTCTGTCCGTCAGTGAAGCTAGGCGCTCGTTCCAAAATGTCGATTCGAGTGGAGAAGAACGAGCAAGAAACTCCATTCGTTACTCTTTTTAAAAAAAGTCTGTTTTACATTGCTCTGATACATATTCCAATATTGTACACACATGTGAGAATAATGTAAAGACATACCTGACGCAACATACAAATAACAGAACATACTAAAATAGAAAAAAAAAAAAAAACCAAGAGAAAACAAATATCTTAAGTCTGACATGGTCCTCACATATGTATACTGACAATCCATATAAAATAGTGCTTCTATACAAGAAAAAAATAAAAAATATACTCTTGTTTAAATAAAGAAAGAAATGCTCGATGCCACAAGAAAAATAGATTGCCTTCATCGGAATCAAAGTGTTAAATTACCTATTATCGTAATCTGAACTAGGTACTGACTACATTTGAGTATTGTCCAGTGGAGCCGAACCAACACGCTGCCAAGCATTCCTATCCTCAAGATAATCAATCACCCTGTAGTACGCTTGTTTACATAATTCGCGCTTAATATATGTTTTAAATTTACTTTCATTTAGATCTAGTATGCTATTTGGTATTTTATTATAGCATTTAATACCTAACCCCATAAAGGATTTCTGTACCTTGGACAGTCTGAATTGCAGTACAGCTAACTTATTCTTGCCTCTAGTATTAAGATTGTGTCTATCGCTTCTTTTTTCGAACAATTGCCTATTCTTTCTTACATACATTATATTTTCATATATGTATTGACAGGGCACCGTTAAGATGTTTATCGTTTTAAACAATTCTCTTAGCGATTCGCAACGGCGTAAGTTATATATTGCTCGGATAGCCCGCTTTTGAAGAATAAAAATTGATTGAAGCCATGCTAGAGGCTCATATTCATGAGCAGCATTTCGCGACCCGCGTCGCGGCGGCTGTCGCGCTGCTATTAAAAACTAGTCGAGTTCATCGTCAAATAATTACGCGAGTAAGCCGAAAACATAATAATTTATTGAGTATGTCTCACGAAAGTTATAATTATAATACAAACATTATGGTCAATACAAAATGTCGCTAACAAAAACCAAATGCCACTTTTTTACTTTCTCTATCAACACAATTTTACTGACACAAACACCACCAATACCGCTGTTCTTTTAAGTACCGATGCTAATCCCCCTTTGATGTCTAATAAACATAACAATCCCATAGTACTATCATACTTCTAAAAACTTAATCCTAAAAACATCTTCAAAAAGCTGTTTACGCAACATCAAACTTGAGATCAAAGCTATAGAGTTCATTGTCCTATATTCAACTGATTTTTGTTAATATGAAGAGCATAAACTTAGTAATCGTTTGAACACTTGCTTACAAACACGTGTCGGTATGATCTCTGTGAGAATAATTCTGATTGTGATGCCAGACTATTTATAGGATGAAGATACCCTCGGGGGCGAACATGATGGCTTTATCATATATCGGCGGGAAACAAGACTATGTTGCATTTTGTCTGTTTATATCGAGACAGTCTGGATGGCTGTAACTTGATAATTATGTAAGATGATTCATTACATTGTTACTAGGAAGTTGTTTAATTGTGTCAAGCATATGTATAAGTCAATGAAAAAAGGATGATTTATTATGCCGAACCATTTATACATACATATCTAGTAGGTATAATAGACTTTCTGTCAGCTGCATCTGCAAAATTATCCCACGAGAATATGGAAAGAAAAGGTACCAAGCTATACATATTTATGTCAAACATCTAAATTCGTTTAGCTATACCATAAATGTGAATCGAATTGAATAATGATGATGGTGATGATGATGATGATAATGCTCATGCCACCATTTCATTCAAAGCATATATCCACTATTAATGAAGTACCACGGTACCATGATGAAGGAGGTAGCTTAGAAAGTACGATGTTTAAGTACCAGCCTTCTATTTTTAACACAAAAAAAAATCTAATCTGGATAGCTAATAGAAAACTTTTCTACACGTGCGTGCCCTACATGTCTCGTAGAGGGCACACCTCATTTACAAAACATGAAGAATTGCTGTAATTAACCGCTAGCTTATTCTGAAGGTCGTGTCTAACAGTGTTTCAGGTTTCAGGCAGCACAATGAATAATAAATATAATGGTGGAAAGGTTGTGTCAGGCACTACATTTTAACGCCACTAAAGTATAACTAAATCGACTGTAAGACTGAAACCACAATCAATTCATCCTAAACAAATGTACCTTTTGTTTTATGTTCAAATCAGAAATGTAGGAATTAAAGACTGGGATGACTTTACGATGTGCTAACGTTCGTATCTAAATAATAAATCTGAATAAACGACTAAACAAATGCTAAACGCTCCTTAACGGTTCCCATTTCTATAAATCATTGATATGTGAATTAAGTCACGCTTCATCATATGATTTTCGGAATCTAATGTCTATTCCATACAATATTTTGATTACCAATCGATAACCCTATCCGAAAGATCCAACAATACACAAATTATTTCTGGAATAGGTAAAAATAAAAATATTAATTAAAAATAAAAACAGTGAGCTACGTGACGTCGCCGCGACAGCGCACGCTGCTCATGAGGAAGAACCCCTCTGTGGTTCGAAACTAGTAGAGCTTTTCTCAGTATATTCACGTGAGTAGCCCGCGTTTTTAGTTAATTATTTCATTTAATTGAAGACAAATAAAGAATCATAAACTCAACAAAATAATTTGTTTACTCGGAAAGTTAAGGAATACCTCACACAGGCCGGTTTGCAGTAGTAAAGCTAATTGAAATCAATTATCGTATGTCTGCTAAGCACAACACTAATTAGGTAATTACGGAACGCCGGCAATACACGAATACCGAAAGAGTCGAGATAAGAATCGAATTGACCTATTGCCATTCAATTGCCTATCATCTTACATTACTTTTAAGTGAAAATTTTATTGTCATTGAATACAAAGTGAATACAATATTATCGAAACATCTATTTGAAGAAAAAATCGTGTAAATCTTTACATATTTTAAGCATTGATTGGCTTAGTAGCCAACCATGGTTATTTATTGTCTCTGTTCTAAGTCCTGATTAATTCCCAAGGGCCAAGGGGTCATCGGTGACTGTTTTTCACTTACTCCATTATAGACTTCATTTCCGATGTTTAGAGACTACTTTTGTATAAAAACATTTTGTGGATTTTTCGTAATATTTAAGAGTCATCTTGACTCAACCAAATAATTGTGCATGATTTTGATATACTCAACAACCTCACTGTTTGTCGCGACATCTTACCTTTAAAGCGGTGATACTTCTGGGTGGACGCTGCTTTCTGTCGCAGCATCTTGTGAGCAGGTATATGAGGAGCACAGTCAATGTCAGGATCAGCCAGGCGCCAGGTATGGAGCCGAGGATTCCCAAGCTCTGGAATACAAAAAAGTCACAAAATATAGCATGATATAAGAATAGAATAAACTTTATTATACCCCATTACGCATAACATAACATCACGCCTTTTTATCCCCGAAGGGGTAGGCAGAGGCACATTTTGGCACTTAATGCCACTGTACAATGTAACACCCACTTTTCACTATTTATGTTATGAGTTCCATATAATAGGGGGTGAGCCTATTGCCATATACCGAGCACATTTCCTGACTCCGTGCTACTACTGAGATTTTTAAAAACCAATAGTAATACTTTGCCCGACCCGGGATTCGAACCCGAGACCCCTTGCCCGGCAGTCGCACTTGCGACCACTCGGCCAACGAGGCAGACGAAGGCGGTCTTATCATTCATAGTGATTTCTACCAGACAACCTTTGGGTGGATATTGTAGTACAAATAAGCTTTTTATGAAAATAAAAATAATGACCGATTTATTTCTTGAAAAATGTGAAAAAGTACCAAAAATATCTAACCATCGTAGCAAAAAGTTTTAAAAGCACTAACGTATTTTAGAAGCTACATTACAGAAATCGTTCCAATCTGACATGTGAAGCCACACACACTAAACACGCAAGTACAGTATAGTCAACTTCAGTAATGAACTTGTATAACCCCAGGATACACAACATGCTTAATTAACTGTCATGTTTTGTGGACAAACATTTCGCACGAACCAAGTATAGAGATCCGGGAGATGATTTGTGAAGCTGAATGGATGCTGCTCTTTAATCTAGATAGGGATCTGTTGCCGTAGACCGTTGGACGACACTATTGTGGTCAGTCCGGACTGTTATTACACGCACGTGATGTTCCCCCTTCACGGATTGTTAAGTGGGGATATGAAATGGGAGCTTCCGTGTCGTCGGCGTTTTGAGAATTTTATAATCTTGTGAACTTACTCTTACAGGCTTTGAAATAATTTTCAAAACTAAAAATATTTCAAAGAAGTTTTGAGGATTTTAAGGATAACTTAAACCTGTACTTTCTAATGTCCGTAAGGATTGAGGAGCCACATCACATTTTTAAAATCTGATCTCGCCATTATTTAGCAGCAGTTTAGATTATTTTGCAGCACGAATTCTAGATTTTGCAGCAAAATATATCACTAGTTATTTTAATGCAAACATGGCTCCTCAATCTAAACGTTTGAATTGAGGAGCCACCTAGAACTCGTTAAGTAATAGATGAATATTTATGAAAATTTTGTATCATTTAGTAGTAATTTTGCACATTACCATATAAAAATTTGGCTTCTGTAGTGCTATAATTGAAGAAAATACAATACTTTTAATATGGCTCCTCAATCTAAACACAAGAGGTGAATTTCTATTTGGATGTGAGCGATCAATTAATATATTAGCATATTGATAATTTAGCAGGTGTTGTGTTTGTTTTTGCAGTATAGGAATAAAATAGTAAAACAGAGTATATTTTGTATATGAACGCATTTTCTTTGGCTCCTCAATCCTGACGTTCTAGTTATGTATATTTGACTGTAGCCACCTGAGATCTCAACGGAATCTAAAGCCAGAGAGACTAACATTTAGCAGAAACGTCTGCTAAATATATCTGCACAGTTCAGCAATGTACATATTTTGGATTCTGAGAAAACAATACTTAACTATTTTCTTGTAAATTCAATGTGTAGGGTGACCACATTTT